AGGTCCGTCTTTTTGGACTCTTTGGAGGCGACAAGCCCCACGCGCTGGGAGCCCTCGGGGATGAACTTACTGCACGGGCATGAGCAAGATGCAACCCCAGGAAGGGAGTTAGACCCCAGAAGAGCTCCTCTCCCGACAAACCTGCCCTGCTCCCCTCCTGACAAGCTGTTACTGCAACTATGGAGCTGGAGCCTGGGCAGCTGAGAGCATGTCAGGGGCCCCTGACCCACCTGAAGTGCCCCATGTGGTAGAACATGGGCTGCTTGTAGAAGATGCCTTCGCTGGTGTCCACGATGACAGGGCTGTCCACGTAGTTCTTGACCCAGTTGGGGCCCCCCTCCAGGTCCAAGGCCAGGTTCCAGTCGGTCCAGCCGGCCACAAAGTGGTTCAGGTTCTGCAACAGGACAGCCAGACGTCTGCTCAAGGAGTGGGGTGCCGATGGGAGACGGAGCATGCCGGCAGCCCTCTCCAGGGCCCACTACCCAGGGGCGATACGGGGGCCTCACCGTCAGGATGCTGTGGCTGTACTGGTTCCCCCGCTCCCAGCAGCCCAGGATCACGTCCCTCTCCCAGAAATGGGCCCCGATGCACGCCTCCGTGGCCAGGATGAAGTAGTCGGGAAAGAGCTCGTGAGTGGGCACCACTGTGTCCTTTATGGGACCAATGAAGTCCAGGTACCAGTGGATGCCAATGCCGTGGACGTAGCGAGCTGCCTCTTCATCCTCCAGGACCTGGCAGGGAGAAAAGTCGGCCACCACCGGCTCCCAGGGGACAGAGAGCCAGAGCCCCAGCCCTCGCGCTGCGGGACTGAGCGGCCGAGCCCTCCGCAGGAACGTGCTGCGCCAGCGGGACCAGGGCTCTGCCCCAGCTCGCCAAGCTGGCGGACCCCATGCCGCACTCACCACTTTGGCCCAGTGCGGGAGGTGGATGCGCTGGTCGTCCAGGATGATGAGCCGGGTGCGGTGGGGGCTGCGGGCCAGCGCGGGGCCCAGGTCGCGGACGACAAAGTCCCGCTGTTGCGCGGGGGTGAAGGCGATGGTGGGGAACTGGGGGGGTGTTAAAAGCGCCGCGAGGGGC